TAGGTCTTGTTTAGGTTTTATGTCTGTCTTTGAATTTTGACTTTTAAAGTGATTTTATTCATTTTTAGTTTAGTCGAACTGATGATGGAGCTGGACTCCGAAACGTTTTCAAAATCGATATGGTGAATTTTCTTGGCGTTTTCTTTGCTTTTAAATTCCTTGTGAACAATGAAATTATTATGAACTCTATCATGCAGTGCATTAGATAAAACAACGTTCAACACATTAGATTCAACATCTAATCACTTGCGAAGCTTATACTCTGCAAGCAAATATGAAGACTCATTTTAGTTTTTGTTCACAGAAACTGGAAAATACGTCACCGTGCAGCGCCATCGTTCTTCTTCGAGCCAAATTTCGGAAGCGTGGAGTCCTCCTCAAGCTACTACACGCACCCATGATCTATTCGGTCGACACACCGTAGGCGATGAACACTCAACTCGCGTAGCCAACGGTGAAGAGGAACGTATGGTCTTTGGCTCTCATCCTCCTGCCAGAGCAAGTCCAATTGATACGCAAGCGTCAGCGTCCGTAAACACAGGAGGCAAAGAAAGAGATACGTTAGAAACTGGAGCTCTTCAAACTGACGGCAGCTCATCACGTTTAGGAATTTCAGTGAGCAAAAACGACACTGTCAACTATAGAGTTACAAAAAGACTTAATGATAGCCTAAGAGGTAGCACTATCAACTCCAGTCGTGATGCTGCTTACGAATCCGTCGTTAAAAAGGCCATAACAACTACAAATGAGTTTGTTGATGGTGCTCAAGAAGACGCTTCTGAAAGAAAGCGCAGTGAAGCTAATTTGATCGCTCCTAGAGTTTCTAGAAACACCACATATTTTGGGCGCTCTAGAAATGTTGATTACAGCACAAAAGGTTTACAAAGAGAGGTCAGTGACGCAAACTTTGATACTAAACGAACTGTTGATGACAAGAGTTTTAGTTCAGAACAAGACGTTGTCACTACTAGTTCTGGTGCACCTCGGTTCGAAGAAGAGCGTAGTGCTAGTGTGTTCGTGAGCGCCACATCCAGCAACGAGGGCTTGCTTGTCATCCGCAACGCCACGCGAGGCTCTGCAGGACGCTACGTGTGCGAGGCTACGAACAGCGAGGGCTCAGACCTCAGCAAGCTCGTCTCTGTCTACGTCAACGGTGCGCTTGTCTAAAATGATGCAACAATAACAGTTGATAAGACACTCAGTCTTTAAAACTTATTCGCACGTAGTGTTAAAGACTGAGTGTCTTATCAACTGTTATTGCTGTTTTATTTGTGAATTTTCAATTTAAATTGAACTTGTCATATAACTGAATACAATAAACAACTATTCATGTAATGCCGTGTAATGCGACTAAGTGTTAAAGACTGAGTGACTTATCGATGTTTTATTTGTGAATGTTCAATTTAAATTGAGCTTGCCGTAAAAATTAATGCAATAAACAGCTATTCATGTAATGCCGTGTCCTAGAGGCAGGTAAAATATTAAATCTACTGTATTTTTCAGAACCCCCATGGTTCCCCAACCAAGAGTGGGAGGTAGAGGGTAAGGTGGGGGAGTCTGTCACCCTCACATGTCGGGCGAGGGGAGATGCCCCATTGTCCCTCACATGGCTTCCAACGTCACTGATCGCCAACCCGAGGTACCATTTTTATATTCTTAGGACGTCTTAATGCACATAGTTTTCAGATATTGGGATTCTAAATATGATAGATTCATAGAATGATTCTCCTGTTTCATTTTCAATTTAGCTGTTGAAGGTGTAAAAAGTCGATGTTAATGCACTTTTCTAATACAAGGTAATGTATATATGTATATTGTACATTTACTGGTTGTCAGTCCCAGATTGTCAGTTGTACGCCTGTCAGTCTCTGTAACTGACTCCTGTCAGTCTCTGTAACTGACCCCTGTCAGTCTCAGTAACTGACCCCTGTCAGTCTCAGTAACTGACGCCTGTCAGTCTTTGTAACTGACCACTGTCAGTCTCTGTAACTGACTCCTGTCAGTCTCTGTAACTGACTCCTGTCAGTCTCTGTAACTGACCCCTGTCAGTCTCAGTAACTGACGCCTGTCNTTATTTTAATTATTATTGATGTTTGACATAAATTGTGTTGGCAGACGTGCCCGCTGTGCCCGTGGGGCTGCGCGTGGTGGGCAGCGGCCCGCGGTCCGTCTCCCTCAAGTGGGAGGACTCCAGCGCCCTCGTCTCCCCTTCAGCGCTGGTCACCTCCTACGTCATCACCATCACCACTCTCGAGGGTTCGTTGACCTCGTTACTTGGCCTGCATAATTGTTATTCCGACTTTAATGATGTCTTACGCGTTGTTTGGCTCTGCTTAATTGTTATTCTCACTTTAATGATAATTGAAATTCCAGCTTTAATGATGATGTACGTGTTGTTACGGGGGTGTTACATATTTCTTCTTTTTATATTTACATAATTATCATATAATTACTATGCCCACACGCAGAATGCGCGTATGCTTTAATTTATAAAAATGTTTTTACTCACAGATTTCATTCAACAAACTTATTGACATTTTATTTAAAACAACCAGAAACTTTTTACTCTCCAAGACTGTTCAGTTTGCGTTGGTATATTTTATACTCTCGATTTCTTTTTTTGCTTATTTCAGCTCAGTTTGATTTATCGAGATTTTCGACAATGATTTCTTTTCCTTCACCGGATATGATAGAATCTATTAATTTGACTGATTTCAATTTTTCCTTTATCGGGCCATAAATTCTTCCGGGCGCAGGTGTCTCCAACGAGACGCGTTCAGTGGAGGCGAGCGTGCGACTGTCCGAGTTACAGCCGGCAACCCGCTACGCCGTAAGGGTTGCCGCTGCCAACAGGGTCGGGACCAGTGAGGGTTCAATTCCTCTTCATTTTACGACGGACCCGGAAAAGCCTGGCGGTCATCCCATGCACCTCAGGGTAATCATTATGAGTACATTTACTTTGTAGACCAACAGAGGAGGTATTAAAAAAATTTTTTTTAGAAAATCCTGCAAACTTACTGCTATTGCCAATTTGTTTCTATGCAGGACGTTCCTTCCTTGAATTAAATAACTGTGAAATATTTCCATGTGTCATTACCATAAAAATTTTGTAGGAATCATGAAGCACTGCAATTAGATCGGAACAATCTCCTAACTTCCCCATAAGATTTCAAACTGATGTCCAATGATAACAATGTATATAATAACCGAATGTGTTGATCGAACTTATAAATGATATAGAAAATTCTGAAACTGTAAGCTGTACTAAATGTGCTCTTCCTCCGGTGTTAAATGTCCTACAAAACATTCGTGTCATCGAACCTCCGCGATATTATTGCCATCCATGATGACGTTTCTAACAGAAATGTACAAACTAGATATACTTTCTTCGCTATTTCTCCCATTCATGCTTATATTTCTTCCTTGTATATTTCCTTATATATTTCTTGATGTATTTTCATTCTATGTTATTTTTACCACTCACGCCAAGATTGCTTCATTTTTGGTGGTCTTGGTTTTGACGATATTTCTATCTTCGGCACAATTACACAAATGCAAATGCTTTTACTCACTCTGATATTTCTACAACGCATGCGGAGTTAGATACCACACAAAAGCGTACTGAACCCTTGCTCTATGTAACTCTGTTGAACCCTTACCTTGTTCTGCTGAACCCTCGTTATAGTTCCTCTGAACCCTCGTTATAGTTCCTCTGAACACTCGTTATAGTTTCTCTGAACCCTCGTTATACTTCCTCTGAACCCTCGTTATAGTTCTTCTGAACCCTCATTACAGTTTCTCTGAACCCTCGTCATAGTTCCTCTGAACCCTCATTATACTTCCTCTGAACCCTCGTTATAGTTCCTCTGAACCCTCGTTATAGTTTATCTGAACCCTCGTTATACTTCCTCTCAACCCTCGTTATAGTTCCTCTGAACCCTCGTTATACTTTCTCTGAACCCTCGTGGTAGTTCCTCTGAACCCTCATTATACTTCCTCTGAACCCTCGTTATAGTTCCTCTGAACCATCGTTATAGTTCCTCTGAACCCTCGTTATACTTCCTCTGAACCTTCGTTATAGTTCCTCTGAACCCTCATTATAGTTTCTCTGAACCCTCGTTACAGTTCCTCTGAACCATCGTTACAGTCCCTCTGAACCCTCGTTACAGTTCCTCTGAACCATCGTTACAGTTCCTCTGAACCCTCGTTACAGTTTGGTGCTGGTGCTCCTGATGGTGATGGAGCTAATTTTGATGCTGGTATGGCATTTTTAACAAGTGTTGCTGATGTTGTTTTTATTGGCATAATGATTTGCTTGTTT